AAATTGAACACGAATTTCTTACCGGAATTCAATCCATCATGTGTGAAATTGGAAGTTCATGCTAATTGCTAAATCATGTGGAACAATTTACCCGATAAGCGCTTACCATGGTACGAATCGTCGTCGTCACTTAACGGGTAAGACTCTTGGTATTTGTTTTGCTCTTACCGAATAAGATTTCTGGTTCTTATCATATTTATCCGGTAAGATAATATAACTTGGTAAGTGATTACTCCGATAAATATTTGGTAAACGACCTCTTAATTACCGTAGCTATATATTTGATCAAGTAAATGAGAATCGATAAGCAATTATCTATATTATATTATTAATAGGTTTTTTTGTTTTGAATATTTCAACGTTAATTATATTATTAAATAATATAAGAAGACATTTCTATTTTTTGTTTCTTTTAATTTATTGATATTGTGGGGAGTTTGTTTTTACTTATTCATTTAAAAAGGTTTTGGAGAACACTGCAAATGACCGTCCATTACCTTCGTTAACTGTAATAGTACTTAAATCTTAGATTTGGTCTCTTGTGCAAACAGAGACAGTGGATGTCCGTTTGCACAAAGAACAAAATCTAAGACAAATTACATAGATAGCGGGTTCTTTTATGATAAGTAAAAAATAAATAATCAGTTCCATAAAAAACGACAAATTTCATAGACCAAATCCATAGTTCACTATTCAAAATACGATTATTTTATCATCATTGTATCTTATAATTTGATTGGTTTTTATAGAAACAACAATATGTATAACATGAATAATTTATACGATTTATTTTTAGTGTTCTTACATTTTTGTTATTAAAAAATAGTCATGTTCAGAACTTCACCATAATAAAGTGACGGCCACAAATTTATCGTAAAAAACACGTTTAAATGACATTTATTTTGGAAGATCGTTGATAAGTTTTTATATTTATTTTTGCAAATATAGTCAGGCTTGTAATTATGTGAATATTATAAGGATGCCATCATTGAAAAGTACAAGCATAAACTATGAAAAGGTTACAAGGATATGAGATATATTTTTAGGGTTTAATTTGTTTTCATCACTAGTCCCTGACCTTTTAAATTCGTTGAAGTTCGTTAAATTTCACTGTTAAATGTGGGTTATCTTTGTCTTTTTACAATTTTAGAGAGACTAATTTAAATGTATAAGTATGTATGCTTAAGTACAAGTTACCGAGTAACCCCCTCCCTCCCTTCAAGAAATGCCATCGCTACCCACCACCTCCTTCAAGAACTGTCACCACACACCACCGATCTCCTTGAAGATCTGGAGCAAATTGAACCACGATGAACGCTAAAGATTTTCTTTTCTCTTGTTAGTTTTGTCATTGTAAGGTTCTGGGTGTATAAAATGGGTTTTGGAAGCATCCCATTACACGCACACAAACAACCCACCGTGAATTCCGATCGTCTATCCCACAATAGCAACTCTAGACCACACGTGACTTTCAACCTTTCGCCATGGATTATAACGAAACAACGGCTCAAGAAACAAAATAGAAGGGGATTACTTTCAACACCAAACATTATATTATCTTAATAAAAAAGGAAGTATTAAAAATGAGTATCTTGAGATAAAATACATACTCTTCTTTACATTATACTAAAAGGATTTATGGTTTCTTGGCTTTTTAATGGGAGTATTAGAATCGAGGCGAACCTACATCGACCCATACAGTGGCACAGGCCAACAACTTCATGGTTCCGTTGTAAGAGAAAAACAATATGTTTTTTTGAAATGTGCCACCGTATTAATTTATTGGTGGCACGAGCCACTACTTTGGTGTAAGTCTTTAATGACAGAGGTGTAAATGTTGCTCACTTTGTACTGAAACCTTGGGTTTGAGTCCAACAAATGTCAACTTTTTTTAGTTTTCAACTTAAATTTTGGTGTTTCTTATATGTTTTAGAAAACAAATTATAGGCGAACATGGCTTTCTTTCGTGCAAAGACAAGGAACCAACCAATTTATACTAATATTATGAAATATTTTAACAGGTTCGTTTTTATTGTCAATTTGTGTCATCATCTAAAAAGATTCACGGATATTGTAGAATCAATGGATATTGTGGGTTTCTTCCCCCTTCCTCGTATTTCAGCTATTTCGTCTACAAACTTTAAATGCGTTACGTTGTGTTTTTTTTCTTTTAAAACTGCTTTATAACTTGTACCTAAGGTATAAGCATCTGTACACTTCAATTTAATTTGAAAAAATCTTTTGGAATGACCAAAACACACCTCACATGACTAGCACATGAAGGCATCTAAGATGATGTTGACGTTAGGGATGATTGGTGAAAGCAAATTCAATGGTTGGGGAGTCTGTAACGAAATTAGAACAATAATAACAATTGATAGAGTTTCAGTATACTTCAGGGGACAATTTATGTAATTCACTCTAACTTTTTTGTAAAAGTGTGAAACAGTGGGATCCACGTAATCACTTAAAAGAAATCCCTCATCGAGACATTAAACAGTTTATATCAAGTGAAAAAAGAAAAAAAAATAGTTTATTGATTCAAACAGGCTCGTACCAAAAAGTTGATTGGGGACTGTGGGGAAAGACTATTTATAACTCAAATGACTTGTAAAAGATACCATTAACGTCAAGTCATATGTAAAAAATGTAAAGTATGACGTCACTTTACACATCAACAAACCATTCATAATACCTTTTTGCATCGAAATTGACATTGTGAGTTCATTTTAAAACAAACGACACTTGCAGAGTTACATTGTCAAAATAAAACGTACTGCTTGCCGAACTATTGAGGCTTTAGATTCATTGAACCTTTTTATTTAACAGTGCTATAAAAGTTGGACGTTGAATTGTGTTAGCACCTGTCCTTTAAAGGACGCTTTCCGCATGGTCCCATACATTTATTTTTCTCAGTATATTGACAAGAAGTGCAATCAAAACCCAAATAAAGGTATAGGAGTAGTGACAAATCCAAATCATTTGATGACTAGGAGGATACATTGGATGTTAACAGTAAAGATGGGTATACAACTCATTTGAAACATGATTTTTTTAACTTTCTAATGGTCGAAGTGACTAGTGGTCCCCCCCTCCCCCACTCTTAATTACTCCGCCTACACATCAGAGCGATAAAAGGGCTCATAAGCATAACCTCCAGTTAAAGTTGGTCTTTTCGTCATATGATTAGATCGACCAAACGAAAGGATACATTGTTCCTTAGAATAATATAATAACGGGTCGTCGTTAAAAGCAAGAAAATGTTTGATGGGTTAAGGTTGTGTTTTAGTTACGTGTCCTATATTCTCTTTGGATTCGAATCATTGAACCCTTATTTGAATACGATAAAATTTTAGAATCAAGTAGAAATCTGGTGAAGGTTTTTTCCTGAATTCTGAAAACTATGGGTAGAGTTGTTTTATACAATTGATGTATTTGAAATAAATAAATAAATGATGGGTATGATACATGGTTGGACTTGATAGTGATGTTTCTTGATTACTAAGTAATAAAATGACTATTAAATCTTAAAACCTTATTCGGACTCAAAAGTAACAAAATGACTATAAATCTTGATTTGTGTAAAATGCATTGAAAACGTTATTTTGACATCTTATATATTTAAATACTTGTTTTACATGATGACTTATAAATATCGATTATAATCCGATTTCAATTGACATGAACTATTTTAGGATAATGTATATGTATCATTTTATATTATAAATTAGGCCAGCTTATGCATTAAAATGTAAATATTAAGTCTTAATATGGTTGTGTGTGAAAATAAAATTAATAGACAAAGATTTAGTTACCATACTAGAAGGGTACTCGTGAATGTAGCAATATACATCTTGATTTTAATGTTTTGTTTTATTCTTTGTTTTTGCCGGTACAATATGGTTTTATGTGGTTTTGAGAAAACGATAATGTTTTTATTTTTGAATAAAATATAAATTCGAATATGTCATAAAAATTTACAAAAAAATATGATCGATATTGGTATCAAATTAACTATTTAAAAGTTATCCTTTTTTTGTGTAATTTTTTTAATTCAATTTTTATTATAACTTAATTTATATTTAATAGTAACTAAGTATTTGTTAGAACTCAATGATTATCCTAGTTATATTTTCGTTTGTATTTAAAACGAGATCATTATCATGTATTTGATTATGTTTATTTACAGTTACATAATTCTAAAAATGAAGATTTAATAAGTTATACTTAAACACAATTTACTTATACTATTGAATTTTAAGTAATATACATTAACAAACAATATTTCATACATATATATAGATTTTAAAAGTTTATCGCTTTATAATATAATATAAAAATAGAGATAAGAAGACATCTAACTCTTCCATTTAAAACAAAATAAAAAGGACCAATGCCTTGCTAGGAACACCCTTATCTTAATCAAAGTCATTAGCTAAAAGACAATAAAATAAACGTTTAAAAAAAATGCATTATTTGATAATAAAAATTGAAACGAAAAATGTTTTAATTTTTCATGTAATTCATTGGTTTTTAACTTATATGATAAAGGAAATAAACCCTAGAAATGAAAAGATTTAAAATTATATAGGGTTGGCTTAATTGACAATAAAACTCTGAATTGTTAAGAAGTGAATCTTGTTTGACAAAAAAAACTACCTCTTAACCGTTCTAAAAGCATTTGAATGATTTTGTATCATGTCTTTCTTAACCATTCAACATTCTAACTTTTTTATAAATAATTACCGAAAAATTATATTTCATTTTATACTTATTTTATCATTTTATATCAATTCATTCGGCAATTCCCAGGTAAGCAGAGGCCGAATTAAAAAAAAAACATGGTTTTACCGTGGAAAGGTGAACCGGTTTGATTCGGCTGGTTAAATCGGGGTTGAAAGAACGTAAAAAGTAAAATGGCAAGTTATCGGAAGAAGAAGAGAACAAGAAACACTGTTTTTTGCATCGATGAAATTTGATTTGATCTGAAAAAATTGATATTAGAAGATCAAACCGTTTGTTTTCATCCCCTAATTACTGCATAATTCAGTCTTCCCGTCTCCATTATTAGGTTCTTGAAGGGGGAGATTTATACAATTTGACAAAATGTATGGGTTCGAAGCAATGACCTTCAACATTCATGGAGGTTACCTTGAAGCAATCGTCAGGGGTCATAGATCTGGTTTGCTGACCGTTGCTGATTACAACAATCTATGCCAGTGCGAAACCCTCGATGACATCAAGATGCATCTCTCCGCTACCGAATACGGACCTTATCTTCAAAATGGTATCGCAATTCGTTGTTTATAGGTATCAGTTATTGGTTATTAATGTTTTTTATGTTCAGTATCAAAGCCACTAGTAAGATTGATCTGTGCCATGAACGAAGATTGAATCAAAAGACTATAGTCAGAAGATCTTATGCTAATATAATACTTTCCAGTGAAGTGACATCCATGGATCTTTTTGACATTTAGTTTCTTGGTGGTCTTAGCTTGTGAATGTTAGACCACTGTCTTTATGCTAGTTTTAATGCTTATGACTAACAAACTAAGATCACTAACAAACCAAATGTCAAAAACAATGGTTTGATATTCAGTCTTTGTACAAGCTAGGATCACTAACAAACCAAATGTCAAAGAGATCCATGGACCATGGATGCCACTTCACTGGATAGTATTATATTAGCGTAAGATATTCTGTCCATAGTCTCTGCCCCTGGGGCCGTTTACCAAACACTTACTCGGTAGTCGCTTACTGGTAGAATTCAACACTATCACTTACCGGGTAAGATTTTAGTCCATAAAAATGGCATCATATGCAACAATTTGCCCGATAAGCGCTAACCGTGTAAAGAGTCGTCGTCGCCCTCACTTACTGGGTAAGACTCTTGGTTCTTCCTCGCTCTTAGCAGGTAAGATTCTTGGTCCTTACCATATTCATCTGGTAAGGTAATGTGACTTGGTAAGCGCTTACCTTGGTAAGCGTTTGGTTAACGGCCCATCTATGTTATTCAACCAATTCCATGATCAATCTCTGTTCATAGCACAAAATAATCTTACCAATGGCTTAGTATTGAACATAAAAAACATTAATACCCAATAATTGATCTATTGAAATGTTTACTAATTAAATGAGTGTCTCTCGGAAAATGAGTTTCTCAGAAAGTGCTTGTATATTCATTTCCACATACCCCCTCTGCTCATGAGTAGATGAGCTATTGCTCAAAACATAAAATCAAGGGATCTTTTTTAATAAATTTGAAGTGCAATTCACTACTAGTCAGTATTGATATACATCCAGGGATTTATAGTCACTTTGTTATCAAATATCTTAAAAGAGTGCATTTCAATAGCTTATATAAATTGATGAGTTATCACGTGCAGAACAATGGAACATGATTAAAAGCACTTTCTGAGAGACACTCATTTGATTATTACACATTGGTTATTATGAGGAGAATTTGCTAGAGAAAATTAGATTTGTAGTTGCGTTTCTATTTAATGTTTAAGAATTGGAAAAACATATAACATTAAGATGGTATGTTATTTAAAGGGTAAAAAGAAGATTTGGCTCATTTATTCTTGGACAAAACTAAAAGTCAAAATTCCCCCTTTAATTTAGGATGAAGTGTTATATGTTCCCAAGTGGACATGTAACTTGCATAGATGTGTTATTTGGCCAAAAAAGCAGTTGGATTTCTACATTTGATGCTTTCAGGATTAAATTTTATGTTTGCTGATCTTTGTTATGGTAATTTCTTGCAGAACCTTCACCCCTGCATACCACTACAATTGTAGAAAAATGCACTGTTAAATTGGTTGATGAGTATAAGCATATGTTATCCCAAGCCACCGAGCCATTGTCAACCTTCCTAGAGTATATAACGTATGTTTATTTATCTATCCTTCTATATGTGTTTTGCTATAACCTGTATGTTGTAAGCATTATTGTGTTATTTCATCTTTGTATATCCTTGATATTTTTGGGTGCGAATAGTTCACTTAATTCGTCGCTGATATATATCTGATTGGCTGCTGGCTAACAGCTTGTCCAACGGGTTGTGCCAATGGGGAATGGGGATGATCTTGGTTTTGACCCTGCTCTGAATTTTTTTCGTTTACTCTTTTGTCACCGGGTGAATTGGGCCTGTTTATCTTTAAGGGGAAGCTACCAATAACTTTAACTGCACGATGAAATTGTCACTATGGTTGCCCTCACGATCGGGCGCTTATATAGCTAGAGCTTCTAGCAGCTGATTGTTACATGGAGAAGGAAACTATGCAACTTTTGTTTCTTATCATATATGAGAGATGATTTGAGTTATATTATGGGTTTTAAAACATAAAAACATACACCTGAGGAATACAAAACATGGGATTTGCTAGATTTTCTAGCAAACGCTGAATTTCGATCTCCCAAAACCAAAGAAGCATAGATTTTCATTCTATATCCTGCATCTATTTCTTTCCAGCCCTCATTAATGCATACCTACTACTTCACTGATATATGCGCTTTTCCCTCTGGCTTAAGTAATGATGGGGCATTGGTTCATTATTGAAAATATAAGTGGCTACAGAAAGTCTAATGAGTTTGAGGTTTTGCTATCATTGGCACTCGTCAGACATTTGTGGCTACGAACTAACCTTACAACCATGTGAAAGTGGCTGACATCCATGAAATTCCACTTCACATGCATTTACCATTGAGAATTCCATTAAACTCCTACCTGAAACTATAAATATGCAAAATGTTGGCACCGAAGTCTGGGAAGTAGGAGAGGGGGGGGGGGATAGCAAACATTATACTGGTGATAACTCTGAGTTGCCTCCAAATGTCTAGATCACTTCTTTAATATAATCTGTCTCTATATTAATTGTTAATTATTACGGTTAGAGTTTGTTAGTTAATGTAAATTGTTTATTTTTTGTTAACTATTAATTGTTAGGATTAGGGTTTGTTAGTTGATTTCAGATTGTTAGTTTTTTGCTGTTAATTTAGGGTTGGGGTTTATTAGTTGATAATGATATTCCTTGATCCATTTGGAATATTAAAAAGTTATGGAGTATCACCCTAATCAAAGAGATAAATAAGACGGATATATTTAAGTAGATGACTTTGTCAACCACGTGGGCACGTGGCCATTACTTAAAATATGACCCCCATCACCAAAATTTCTGGATCCGCCATTGCGGGAGACACCAGGATGCAGCTTTAGGTTTTCATTTTGCAGATACAAAATAATTCCTGAACAGCCAAAAGAGCAAAAAGAAAATGATTTTTCTAAATTGATTGGGACCTAATATTTCTGTTCCTCCTCAGATATGGTCACATGATTGACAATGTTGTCCTCATTGTTACCGGAACCCTGCATGAGAGAGATGTTCAGGAACTGTTGGAGAAATGCCACCCTTTGGGGATGTTTGACAGGTGATCTGCCCACAACCCATCTTCTTAATATTGTTGCTAGTTTTGCTTGATGTAATATTTTGTTTCTTCAGTATTGCTACCCTGGCAGTAGCTCAGAATATGCGCGAGCTCTACAGACTGGTGCTCGTGGATACACCACTCGCTCCATACTTTTCTGAGTGCATTACATCAGAGGTATATACCATATGTTTTTAGTCCACTGCTACCCACCTCAGTTTTTTGTAATATTAATTTCTTACTCGCCTATTATTTGGGTATCAAAGTGAATAAAGTGGACTGAAGTAACAGTCATCTTGTGGTCTATATTCAATTGAGTGTATCTACATGATGTCTTAGCAGAAGATTTTGGCGTTCTTATAAATATTGAACCTTGAAAACATATCACTGACAAGTTCCTAATGAATAGAATTACAAGCACTGGTGTAATTGTCTATTCTACCTGTTCCATTATTTACAATCCATCAGTTTTCATCAATATGTATGCTAATGTCCTATTTATCTTATTTTTGTTCCTTATTCTTTTTCAAACAAATTACTACCATCCGCAGGATTTGGATGATATGAACATTGAGATTATGAGAAATACTCTTTACAAGGCATATCTTGAGGATTTCTATCAGTTTTGCCAGGTAAGCGTGTGTTGGTTGTTTTTGAATTTGCAAATATCTGTCTGCAGTTCTGTTCTAAACAAGAATTTGTGAACAGAAACTAGGTGGTGCTACTGCTGAAATAATGTCTGACCTTTTAGCATTTGAAGCTGATAGAAGAGCCGTTAATATCACCATAAACAGGTGCTGCCATGATTCGATATTATGTTCCTGTAGGAGGTTACTTTTGTAAATGCAAGTTTCTAATTGTAACCTATTGCTCTTTTAACATGTGGTTTATATATGCAGCATTGGAACAGAGCTTACACGAGATGATCGTAGAAAGTTGTATTCTAGTTTCGGCTTACTGTAAGACAAAGTAACTTCGTGTAAATATGCTAATCACAGTTCTTCTTCATCTTCTTTATTGTGTGCTTATCTATTTCTGCCTTTTGCTTTAAAACAGCTACCCCTATGGCCACGAGGAACTTGCTGTGTGTGAGGATATAGATCAGGTACATGTCCTTGCCTGTGTCTATATTATTGATGTTCTCAAATGGATATTAGATTTCTTCTGTTTTAAGAAAACTTTCAAGAAATGAAGGTAGATTTGGTTTTCATGTGAAGAAACTTACCTTCAATGCTTAATAAGTAGCTAAAAATGTTGTTTATTTGGATGGCGGGTGTTGTAGGTTCGTGGTGTGATGGAGAAATACCCTCCTTACCAGGCTATATTTGGCAAGTTATCCTACGGAGAGAGCCAGATGCTTGATAAGGCATTCTACGAAGAGGAAGTGAAGCGATTATGCTTATCTTTTGAGCAGCAGGTTTGTGTTTGTTTATTTGTTCGTTTCTTAAATTGAGATTTCGAGCGATGAATTGAAAAAATGGTGAGGTTGTTTGTGTTTCAGTTTCACTATGGTGTGTTTTTTGCGTACATGAGGCTGAGGGAGCAAGAGATCAGGAACTTGATGTGGATATCCGAATGTGTGGCTCAGAACCAGAAGTCCAGGGTTCACGATAGCGTTGTTTCCATATTTTAGTTACTACATTAATAGCAGCAGCAGCAGCAGTCGGGATGACACGTCGTCCTGTGTAAATCATCTGGTGGTTCGGTTATGTTGCGTATGCGAGTTTCTCCAAAATATGTTTACTGCTGATGTTAAATTCTGCTTTATTTAGGTGCTTGTTTAGAACATATTATACCTGTTCTATGGATTCAAATGTGGTCTTTTTTACGAGGATGTTATGGGATATTTATATGATTCTAGTATTACCCGTTTTTGTGTGGTGTTACCGTATGCACATCTATCTATATCAAAATTAGGTTAAATCATACATATAAAAATGTAAAAAGTAAGTTTTGATGTTGATCTATATGAGAAAGAACTTAACAGGTAGGTGTATTTAGGGGTTGTTTGGCTGTTGCAGAATGATTAAGAGGTTCTCATGATATAGGGTAAAATGAAATATAATTGTTCGGTAATTTGTTACAGTGAAATTAGGGCGCTGAATGGCCAAGGAGACCCATGATATAAAATTATTACAATCATTAAAAGACGTATTTTTTTTTTGTCAAACAAGATTCACCTCTTAATGATTTAGATGTTACGTTTTAATAGAATTATTTAAAGGTAAAGTAATAGGTGAGCTATCTAGCCTACCATCAAAGATTTCTCTGTTCAAAAGCGTCACCTACGCTTGACCTCAACTTGTAGTTCAAAAACCACCATCCACTTATATGTAATTTATTTCACTCGCCAAATGCAAGTCAATATAGTTGGGTTTGGAACGGGTTAAGCCAAAATAAACCCAATGCGACCAACTCAACAAATACTTCAAACTCATCTTTTGGTTGATACACCTCATATGGTTAGTGTATGTAATACACTTTTAAATGATTTTTTTAAAGCATCTTTAACATGTATGTTGTATTTTCTTTTTTAATTTGGAGATTTCTATATTTTCTTTTTTTTAGAGAAGCTGAAGCAAAATTTTACCGAACCCGTAAATTTTTTAAAATAACATAAGAGGGAGGCTAATGGCACCCCTACCACTTACTAATGTCACCCCTCTTCCCTATATAATCATTCATTTTTTGTTTCTTTGTCTTTTTCTTGTCTTTTGTTTTTATACTAAATTTCTTTTACTTATTTTATTTAATTATAAATATATTAGTATTACAAATATTATTTATTACCTGTAAAAAATTTATTACTAAAAAATATT